CCCCGCCCCTAATTTTAATAGAGAATAAATAAGATTTTCCTATTCACAATATGTACAAGTATTAATATTCTAATATGCTAGGTTTAAAAACTTTCTATATGGATAGTTGATTAAAGTTAATTTGATAATATATATATATATATATAACAATTTATGATTGCATACTATTTCCTAAAAGAAAAACATTTTTTTTAAAGAATGGAGGGGTTTCTACAAAGGAAAAGATTGGACACTTTACCTATAACAAAACCATGGTCTATGGCTCTGTTCATGGCCCATCCACCAATGCCTAAAACTATGACATACATGCAGAAGTTGAGCAGCAAAAGAAGTGTGGCAATGGGCTTCATTTGGTCGTTTGCCATCTATTCACTTTGGTTTTAAGACAAGGGAAAAGCTGCCTGGAACAAACAGAAAGAGGTAGGGGAATTTCAGATGCCTAAAAAGTTGTGCAAGGCTCAAATTCAGGACATGGATGTGTTATGGGCAAGGGAGGGCTTAAATATATGACAAGTAGATGAAAGGTTTGGTTCTTTACTTGCTAAGGATGCTTGTGCAAAAGGCCTATGCAGGGTTGTAAAGATACTTCATGCTTCAAACTCAAGGCAAAAGGAAATATGCCTGATCCTGATTCTTACTTGCCTCACATTTTTTTTTGTTTATTTTTAGTGTTAGTACCTTGTTTAAGTGCATGGTTGTTTCTTTTCCTAGGCAAGTGATATTCTTTGTTTCAGTACTCTTCTCACTTGCAAATTTTAATAATGTGGTCCCTATCTCCTTCTAAAAAATTAGTAAGATGGATAAATAATTTTGTCACTTATGCACCTAGTCAAAGATTAAATCTTAATCTACATACAAGAAAAAAATTATTGAAAGAGATTATTAACCCTTTAAATAGATCTAAGTACCTTTATAATTAGTCTTTGATTTTCAAATAAACTTGCAATCACTTATTAGTTTATTAGTTTGATTTTCTTTTATTGAAACTCTTTATACTTTTGGATCCATCAAATAGTTTTGATAGTAGTTTAAACTGTGTCCTAATAAAAAAAAATTGTAAGTGTAATTTTTTATTCAACTAAGTTTAATTAAATTGATTCTCAAACACATCCTTAAATTTAAAGCGAAATTATTATTTGATATCCAGTTTATAATTTCCTTTTTCTTTACTGGCAAGTTAAAATTGCATTGTCAAGGGTAATACTTTTGCTTAAGTTTTTTTTTTCTTTGACACCTATACTTTTGCGTAAGTTAGTGACATAAAAAACATCAAAATGCTAATGAGAAAAACCACGTCCTTTTGCTGTAATGCACCCCGCTTCAATGAAATTCCATAACAATTAAGCTAATTATAGGCTTATAGCTTAATATATGATGCTGATATATAACTACGAAATTAAATGTTATAGAAAAGTTAGCCTTATATTCGACGAAATTGTTTAATAAATATTTAAATGGTTTAACAGGTATATAAATCATAAATTGATCAAAAGACATAGACAGACAGAGCAGATTAGCTCTATAATTTTACGGAATATCATGTTTACAAGCATAATCCCTCTTTCTCTTTTGGCAGAATACATACACATTATTTTTTTTTAATACATACACAGTATCTAAATTCTAAATACATTAGAAAAACCATATGCATTAAACTGTATGATCAACCATCGGCAACTTGTTTTCTGTTGTTAAAATCACACACGAGTTATAACTTTTGAATTCTTATGACTTTAATTTGTGTATAGTATTTATACATATCATAGACATATATCATATCATAAATCACAAATAAATAAATACATTTACAAATTTATAAATAAATTCGAATTATACATTTCAAATTTACATAGATTCATATGATACATGTCAAATTCATAAGAAAAAAAATATAGAAAATTAACACACACACACACAAAATATATATTAAGATTAAATTATACTTTGGTATAATTATCTTCGTCAATTCACAATTTTGATTATTTTATCTTAAAATACAGACATTTAATGAAGTGGCAACATTTCATTGAATGCGCCAAACTCATCATTTGAGATCGTATCAATTAAAGTGATTAATTTTTTGCCGACAAAATAAAGACAACTCTAGAAAACAGAAACCTAAACCTAATGAAAATGGTAAGTCATCATTCAGGCACAACGCGAAATTCATTTGTGTTGTACATTTTGAAAACCAATTTAAGAAATTCAAAAAGGAAAATTTTCTCTTTAAATTTATATCAAACAAAACACTCAAATTCAAATTTAGCCTCATTATATAGAGATTTGCCTATCATAGTTTGGTGAAGACCATCTAATATCAATTTGGTTATCTCTAGCTAAGAACACGCCATCATAACAATCTGAACATATTGTTAAAGTGATGTCGCAGAAGCAATAAACATCGAAAAACAATTAAGCTTTAAATAAAACTTATAATACACTCAAATTAGTATACCAGAGAGAATTCAACTTAAAATTAAGACATACTTCAAAAAAAAATTTAGTCATTGCTCAAACACAATTAGCAAGAAATTTTATGTATATTTACATGTACCAAAGCACCAACATTTAAAAACCGGTTCCGTTATAGTGTTATTTTGGCTATTAGTGTTTTAATGAACACCGAAATATCAATTTAGTTGTCAGATACGAACACACCCATTATGACAACCACCACATTGCTGATAAGGTAAACCAAAAAAAAAAAAAGAACCAAAGATAAACTCTAGACTGGGTGAAAAATTTTGTAACAAAAAGCAACATAATAAATGTATAACATGCAACAAAGTTTTGGTCAAGAAAATAACAAAAGCAATCAAAATCTACCAAGGGTATCAACCAAAGCTCACTACAAAAACATAAATTTGGATCCCAGACATGAGGATCTATTCATCTTCCTGGCTGCGAAGTCTGGCAGTTTTGTTTGTCACAACAACATCAAGCTGGGCAGCTCTCTCAACAATATCCTTCCTCTTCCTTGTGGATACATTATGTGCAATCTCAGCACAGTAGGTCCTGAATTAACATAAACACAAACAAAAACATTCAGTCTACCTCTACACTGTGAATCAAGAGAGACATTCATCCAATTATTAGCCGTAAATTAAATCCCACAAAGATAGCGATGAATGCTTCAAAATACTCGCCTGTTATGCATCATCAGGAGTTCCAGGTCTTTCACATTGTGCACAACAAATTTCTTGAAACCATTTGGTAGATAATGGCGAGTTTTCTTGTCTGAAGCATAACCAATGTTGGGCATCAAAGTGCATCCCTTAAACTTTCTCCTGACACGAGAATCAATACCCTTGGGTCTGCGCCAGCTTGGCTGTTACAAAAACAATATACAAAACATCGTGCGGTTAGAACAGAAGCAACAAATTTCAAATTATTAACACTTTGGCATTTAACAAGCATATGTTGGTATAATAATCACATGTCCTCATATATAACTACAGTGCAATAGGAGAAAACTCATAAAAATTTGAATGATCATGATTCTTTATCATGAAAGAAAAGGGACTCCAACGAGTGAAATTATTTTTCAAAGGAAAACTTTAATCTAATATTAAAAATTTATAACAAAATAGCAAGCAAAGGCTCATTTTGAAAGAAAGCAAGCTGTGTCCAGCAACGGATATAGACATAAATCCATTAATATAAAAACAAAAGGGAAAACAAACATAGGAATAACAGCCTTATAAATTTATAGAGTTGAAAACATTCTGCAATCTCAGCCGAAAGATGGTGATATTAGTATAATAATCACAGATTAATCAGTATATTAAAAAAAGCTCATCACAGATTGCAGAACATTATTATTAAGAGATCAAAATCCAAAAACAAAAAGACATTAACATATGCAAGAGACCAGATGGTAGTGCATGTTTGGTGTTCATTCATTATATTGCAGAATTTATGGATAAAAATCATCATATCTACTTGCATTTGAAGACACGAGTTTTATACATCTTAACTAAAATAATAGTCAATGGCACAGGCACAGTGGTTAAAATTAAAACATAAAAACCAACACTTTATACAAGCAAAACTAGGTTGCCAAAACACACTCAAATAAGCATTATGTGAAAACAAAAACATTCTCAAACTTCAAAAAACATAACTTAATCCCAAAAGTAAACCCAGAATAAAAATAAAAAACTGACATAAAAATGCACACAAAAAAAAAAAAATCAAAACAGGAGGATCAGATAAGAATGTCATTCAGCATCTTACACCTCGTGGTGCAAATTAAGACTGGGGCGACAATTCAATCTAAACCCTAAACTGAAAATGACACCTACACAAAACTTCACCTCGCAGTTCAAAATCAAAACCCTAAAACAATGAAATGTGGAAAGGTAGAACTAACTAACCTTGACGGAGATCTTGCGGTCACTTTGGGGGCGCTTGAACTTCTTCACGCGCTTCTTCACTATCTTCTTAGAGATCAAAGGTACCGCCATTTTCTCTCACCTTGCAATTAGGGTTTTCTAACTAATGAAAACTGCTCCTCAACCTTTATATATACCATTAAGATAAGATGGGTCTAGGGTTTTTGCTTAACCGGGCCCTTAGCCCAACGTAGTATCCTGCCATTTGTTTCGGGCCATGAGCCCGTCTCTGTTTATTTGGCTGGCCCATTTAAAAGCAGTCTATCCTGTTCTTCCCCTTGAATGTTTCAATTATCACTGTTCATTTTTTCAAGTCTATTTTTTTTGGGAGTATGTTTAATTTCAGAAAATATTTCCTATTTTTATTTTTAAATTTGAAATTTATAAAATGGGTTAAGTTTAATTCTTTTTAATAAAAATTCATAAAATATTTATGCCATAAAAATTATAAAAAAAATTGAATAATAAATGTATAACATATATACAATATTATCTAAAATATTGTATTATTTATATATAATAAATAAATATAAATAAATATAATTAGTATTACATCTTAAATTTAACAAATAAATATATATAAAAATATATTTGATACTATTTATCTTTAAAATTAGCAATTAATATTCGATTACAATAAATATTGAACATATTTTTAATTATAATAATCAGATTTTCAGTGCATTTATCATGCTCTATATAACTTCCAACAGTCTGGCTAAATATCATTGTTAAATTGTTAAATTACACACATTCTTCACTAACATTTATCAAATGTCTATTGTTTAATGTTTGAGCATTAGGAAATAGGAATAAAAAATACATGGAAACATGACCACTTGAAAATTTAAAGATACATAATATTACAGACAACACAAACCATTTTTGGCTCAAAGAACCCTGAACTTACCTCAACTGGTAATGGCATAATGCCATTTACACTATTGTTTGCAGCTGCAGCCTTTTCACCAGGTTTTGAAGCATAATTATTCCTTGATCTAGTCCATCTCCTGGAAAATGGATCATAACCTGTCTCCCCTTCTTTCAAACCTGTATTCACCAGCTTCAATTCAGAAGCATTCTTGAAGTTCTCAAACCTGTTTTTCCTAAACCTCTAATTCTAGCAGTCTTGTCTTGAGCTTCTCCATTTCTGCATCATCATGCTTACTTTGTGCTATTTCCAATTCTCTCCTCAGCCAATCCTTCTCAGCAGCAACATTTGGTGGTCATATTGAGGCAGACTTTTTCTCTTGTAACATCTGTTTCACAGTACCTGCTGAGTAGACAAATGTGATGGCTTTTTGACTTTTTAATATAAACATTATTTTCTTTGCTAATAAAAGAAGAATCTCAATAATTCTTATTGCTTGATTATATAGTTCCGGTGCAAAAGCTTTTTTACAACCTCATCATACTCGTAATGCAAATTAGCAATAAAATTACAAAAGATATACAAAATACTACGATAGTGTGACAATTCTGTAGGACTCTTCCAGCTGCATCCCATTCCAAAATTTGCAGAAGGAGCAAGACCAAAATCATCTATGTGACTGTCAATCGCAAAACTGGAAATCTGCCATGCTAACTGAAAAACAAATAATAACAGGGAGCCATTAACTTTAAAGTAGTCATCTAGAGTGATGACACTCATGACAGAAATGGTATTGCTCAGTGCACATGAAGACTTGTAGAGCTTGTTCATGGAGGACAACAGATCCCCCGATTGCATTCAACCCTCCTCTGACTCTGCGAATCAGAACAAATGTTAGAACTAAATAAGTGTAAAGAGAACTTGTCAAACAGTTACTTATTGTTTTGTTACGGTCTGTTATTGTTGATATAATTTATCATTTTTATCTCTTGTTATCACAGTGTATAAATACCCCTCTTGTAATCATTCACGGTATTGATAAAATCATTATATTCTCTTCCTCTTCATGATCATAAATTCTAATATGAGAGCCTTCTAACCATGGCTTTTTGAAACCTCCTTCAATCCTCAAATGTTTCAAACTCGGATCTCGATCAAACTTGATGATGAGAATTTTCTGGTTTAACAACAACAAATTCTTGCCATAATTCGAGGTCTGAAGCTCAACAAATATCTTCATGAAGAACATGTTCCAAAGAACATGAAAAAGCTGGTACGATCAGTGAAGCTTTTCTCAATTATGAACAATAGGATTAATGACTCGTCACATGGCTCCTTGCATCAATGTCAGTACCAATCCTCACAAAGATGGTTGGTTTAGAGCAATCTTGGCAGATTTGGAAAAGATTAGAAGTCTATTATGCATCTTAGACTTGTGTGAAGGTGAAAAAATTGAAGGTACAGTTGTGAATGATTAAGAAAAATAAGTCAATTTCCGAATATTTGCTTTTGATCAAGAAAATAGAAGATTCACTAACTACAATTGGTTCTGCAATTTCTGATGATGACCATATAGAAGAGATTTTAGATGGTTTGCTTGAAGATTATGATTCTTTTGTTACTGCTGTTACATCGCGTTTAGATCCATACATTGTTGATGATATTGAGGCACTTCTAATGACTCAAGAAAAGCGTTTTGAAAAACACAAGAAAGCCGATTCGAATTTGGTTCTGGCTAATACCACTTCTGGACCTAGTTATTCTTATGGTAGAGGAAAAGGAGATAAGTCGAATTTTAGAGGAGCCTATAACAATCGTGGTGGTAGATCCAACTTTTGTGGTGGTTACAATTCCAATCGAGGAGGAAGATATAACAATGGAAGAGGCAATGGCAGATCGAATTGGGGACAAAACTCAAATAATTCTTGGAATCAGAACAATAGACCAAATGTAAAATTTGTCGTAAGCTTGGACACTTAGCAATTGATTGCTGGCAAAGTTTCAATCAAGATTTTCAAGGTCCTCCTCAAGCAAATCACAGTTAGTATCAAGGTTTCTCTCAATCTGATCAAGCATTCATGTCAACACCAACAATTGTTTTGGATCTTCTCCGGTATCTAGATAGTGGAGCAAGCCATCATATCACCAATGATGAGAGCAACCTTTCTATCAAGACTGATTACACAGGGAATGGATCCTTCTCAGTTTGTATACACTATACACTAGTCCAATAGTCCTCTTGATCTTGTATTCATAGATATTTAGGGTCCAGCCCCCTTAACTTCTTCTAATGGGTCAAGATATTACATAATATTCATTGATGCATTCTCTATATACACTTGGATGTATTTGCTTCAAAATAACTCTCAAGCATTTACTATTTTCCTTCAATTTAAATCTCTTGCTGAAAAACAACTTGGGCACAACTTTAAAAGCTTTACAATCTGATAATGTAAAAAAGTATCTCACCTTTACTCCTTATCTTACTGAACAAGGGATTCATCACAGATTGACTTGTCCCCATACACATGAACAAAATGGTATCCCTGAAAGAAAGCATAGACATTTGACAGCAACTGGTCTCACTTTGTTGGCTTCTATTTCTCTTCCTTTAAATTTTTGGGGAGAGGCATTCAGCATTGCAGCTACTATAATCAATTATCTTCCTTCACATGTCCTTAAAAATATAGGATTGATAGTACATTTGATGTAAGGCAACCTCCCCGGCCACTTGGGAATCTCAAAAGCTACTTCCCCAAACCTATCCATGAAGACTCGAAGAAACTCATCCTTACCTTGCTTGACACTAATAAAGGCGATTGGCGTCATTGCATGTGGTTGGCTAGAAAGCGAGTAAACCACCTTAAGGTTGTCCCCTTCAAAGAAGTAGAGAATAAGTGGCACATCACTACATTGATGCTGGTTCGCATGCTAACCTGTGAAACATACAAATTGACATGATCGTTAGAGTTTGTTGTTCCATCATATTTGTCCAATCCCAAGCTTTTCCACCCCTTGGAAGGGATACATCCATAATATCATTAAGAAAGGGATGCTTGCCAAACTCCTTGGATATAGCAACAAAGTGGGGTGTCAACATCCCAACCTGATGAGATGCTTGGGTGATCTAAATCCCTCTAGAGATTGACACTTTGGTTGAAGGCATGCCAAAAGGAAAATGGAGTAACCTGAGGAATCAGAGGAGCCTAGCTGCCAAGTGGGATTGTTATCCACAGTTACTATCTTGGTATTGTTCTGTGATTGTTCAATCAATTGTTGCATTTTAGAGTTTTGTTGACAAAGAAGCACTAGTTCCTTTTCATGTCGCTTTTGATGTCGTTCACTTTACTCATGCTATTGTTGTAACTCTCTTTTGCAATTTTGCCAACATGCAAGTGTTATCTAGTGACTCCTGATTATGTCTTAGTGATTTTCTTGTTCCTGCCATCTTCTTGTCAATAGAGATTGTAGGAATAACTTCTCTAATGCTTCATAGTGAATGTCAAATGTATTTGTTGGAAAAAAAAAATATTCATCCTCTTCAAAGAGTTTTTCAATCTTTAGTTCTCAATTGTTAATTTTTGTATTGGTGAATGTACTTGTTAAAGGAATTTTAATATTTAAGTTAACAAGTGCTTAGAGTGTATAAATGTAATTTCAAGAATAAACGTCCATTTTGAGGGTGAAATGTAAGTATATATAAAAGAGAGAAAATTTACTACAAAAATAATAATAATAAAAAGTCAAATGTTCTCTAGCTTTGCTTTTTTTTTTTCTTTACTGCAATTATTGTTTCAGTACGATATTCCTTGTCTCGGATTCTCGAAATAGATTCTCTAGGTTTACTGTTAAGAGCCCAACGTAAGATGTTAGGTTCAGTCAGATATGTTGCTGCACAGTCACCACCATTTGCTTCATCTCTTCAACATTCCCAAAATCCCCAACATTCTACTCTTCCAATTCCAAACAAGGTTTTTTAGCACTTCCTCTTCCATATTAGATCTCTGCACCAAACCACAGCACCTTCAACAACTCCATGCCAGGTTCTTCCTCCATGGCCTTCACCAAAACTCATCTCTTTCCTCCAAACTCATCGATTCCTACGCCAAGTTTGGACTCCTAAACTCATCCCACAAACTCTTCCACTTCACTCAAAACCCAGATTCAGTTCTCTACAGTGCAATCTTAAGAAGCTTGTATCAGTTTGGTGAACATGACAAGACCCTCTTTTTGTACAAAGAGATGGTTCAGAAATCCATGTGCCCAGATGACGAAAGTTTCTATTTTGTTTTGAGATCGTGCTTTTCCGTGTCTCGTGAACAAGGGAAGATGGTTCATGGGCAGATACTGAAACTGGGTATGGATGGTTTTGATTTGGTGGGAAAAGCTTTGGTAGAGTTGTATGACATGGATGGTTTTTTGAATGTGCAGGAACCGTTTGAAGGAAAGTCTGTGGTGGAATTGAATTATTGGAATAACTTGATTTCTGAGGCATGTGAAAGTGGTAGAATGGAGGAAAGCTTTCATCTCTTTTGTAGGATGAGAAAAGAGAATGTCCAACCTGATTCAATTACTGTGATTAACTTGTTAAGGTCGAGTGTTGAATTGAACTCATTGAAGATGGGGCAAGCCCTCCACTCTCTTGTCATTGTGAGCAACTTGTGTGAAGAACTAACTATGAATACTGCACTGCTGTCAATGTATATAAAGTTGGGTAGTCTAAAAGATGCAAGAATGCTGTTTGATAAAATGCCTGAGAAGGACCTTGTAGTCTGGAACATAATGGTTTCAGCATATGCGGGGAATGGGTTCCCCAAGAAATCCTTAGAACTTGTATATTGTATGGTTAGGTCGGGTTTTAGACCTGACTTGTTCACGGCAATCCCTGCTATTTCATCGATCACACGATTAAAGCATAAGGAATGGGGAAAGCAAATGCATGCTCATGTGATAAGAAATGGTTCAGATTATCAGGTATCCATTCACAATTCTCTTATTGACATGTACTCTACATGCAATGACTTGAATTTGGCTCAGAAGATTTTTGGGTTGATAACGGACAAGACTGTGGTTACATGGAGTGCAATGATCAAAGGGTATGCAATGCATGACCAGCCTCTTGAGGCTCTGTCTCTATTCTTGAAAATAAAGTTGAGTGGTACTAAAATTGACTTCATCATAGTCATTAACATCTTGCCAGCCTTTGCAAAGATAGGAGCATTGCATTATGTAAGTTACTTACATGGTTACTCATTGAAGACCAGCCTTGACTCACTCAAATCCCTTAAGACATCATTTCTTAGTAGCTATGCCAAGTGCGGTTGCATAGACATGGCCAGAAAGCTTTTTGATGAAGAGAAAAATATGCATAGAGATATAATTGCGTGGAACTCTATGATCAGTGCACATTCTAAACATGGAGAGTGGTTTAGATGTTTTCAATTGTACAACCAAATGAAACTATCAAACATTATACCTGACCAAGTAACATTTCTGGGGCTGCTCACAGCTTGTGTTAACTCTGGCCTTGTTGATGAAGGCAAGGAGATTTTCAAGGAAATGGTGGAAATATATGGTTACCAACCTAGCCAGGAACACCATGCTTGTATGGTTGATCTACTAGGACGCGCTGGACAAATTGATGAAGCCAATGAAATAATAGAAACTATTCCATTGGAGTTAGATGCCAGGGTTTATGGTCCCTTGTTGAGTGCCTGTAAGATGCACTCAGAGAGCCGTTTAGCAGAAGTTGCTGCTCACAAGCTTATAAATATGGAACCTAAAAATGCTGGAAACTACGTGTTGCTCTCCAATATATATGCTGCAGCAGGAAAGTGGGACAAAGTTGCTAAACTGAGGAGTTTTCTTAGAGATAGAGGACTAAAGAAAACACCAGGTTGTAGCTGGCTTGAATTAAATGGACAGGTACACGAGTTTCGTGTTGCAGATCATTCTCATCCAAGATGGGAGGATATATATTCAATATTAAAAGCACTGGAGTTGGAAGCAGGGGATATGGAGGATGATCTTGAACTCTTTGACCCTCCTATGAGTATCACTGTGATGTGAATTGCACATGAATAAATTCAACCACCTTTAAGACCTGACACTTTTTTTTTTTTTTTTTTTTTTTTATGAATTTAAGACCTGACACTTGATAAGCTAATAAATTCACTTGACGCTGTAATTGACATGTAAAAATAATGGAGGATACATGTAACAAAAAGGTCATAGCTCTTGTCACATTTTTGGCTTTGGTTTATGGTGTCGTTGGGTTTTTTTTTTTTTTTTTTTTGTGGTATTTATGGTATCATAGATGAAGAGAAGATAATTGCCTTGTACTAATTTTGCTTACTGTAACAATTAACAATAAGTTTGTTTAATTCCTTTGTTTTCTTTGAAATAGGTATATAATTAGTAGGAGTATTATTTATACAACACATTTTTGTGATACTATTTTTCATTTTATCTCTCTCCATCCCATCATTCATCTTATTATATATATATTTTTCTCATTATCCATATGTATGTCTATATTACCTTGTAAAAAATAAATTATAACTAGCATTTCTCTAACAGAATATTTAGTAAGAAGAAAAGAAATAAGAATAGAACAAATGAAAATAGGAGGAAAAAAATAGAATGATTGAAAATAGGTAAGATATAGAATAAAAATAAAAGGGATTGGTTTAAAAGAAATAAAGAAAAATTAGACTAAAAGAGATAAGAAGTTAAAAGAAGATCCTAAAAATATAAAAGAAAAGAAAAGATCATAAATTTATACAAAAAAAAAAAAGTTTTTGGTCCCTTATTTTTTTTTTTTTTTTTTTTATTTTGATCTTATAAGGGTAAATTTCAATTTAATCCCTTAGCTAGATCAAGTTAATCCTTCTTTCAATTCATCTTGTTAATTTGATCGATTTTTTGACGCGTGATAATCTATGAAAATATCACATAAGTCAAAATTAACACCATTTGTCAAAAAAAAAATGAGGGAAGGATTAATTTGACTAATAAAAACACTTTAAAGATAAAATGAAACTTTAAAAAAATATTTAATTTTTTATTTAATCCACTAGATAGATAAAATACTCAACGCCTTAAATTTAAACTTTATTAATTTCATTGTAAAAAAAATCCATGTTCTCTTTTAAATAAGGGAAAAACTTGGAAATATTATTCATAAAACACTTTTATATAATTTTTTATTCCTTTATATGATGGATTCCAATATAGTTTCAAATGAACTCCGATCTTGCTCTTTCAACCTTTTCTTGAAATACTTGAGACTTCTTCAAGGAGGAACCGAAAAGAAGAAGAGAAGAAGCGTTGCCAAAGGTTGGAACAATCTCCTCAGATAGAAGAGTCCAAAGACCTAAGGCTACAAAGAAGAAATCTCAAGGTGAATTGGAGAATTCCCTTACTATGGTGACTTCGGCAAAGAGAGAAATCAAAAAATATAATTCTCATATAATGCTCAAAGTGAGGTAAGCTACATGAACCTAGTCTATATATAGGCCAAAGAAGAGTACCAAGGAAGCTAGGTTAACTAGAGTTTAAACTAACCATAGTATGATTAAGTTTAAACTATAGGCACCAAATTTGAATTTGAAAATTCAAATATGGACGTTCTCCCTAGATTCTTGAATCCTCCCATATGCCACATGTGATATTTGAAGAAATCTTCGAAGCTTTGCTCCTTATTCGTACATTGGACGCGTTTTAGGAGATGAGGAAGGGATTCCCAGAGCTTGGGACCGTTCGTGTGTGGGTCTTTCCTTCGGTTCTTCATCCTCTCTTCCATCTCTATTTTTTGCTTTACCCTCATTGTTTTGAGTGGTTCTACCCATCATTTTGTGAGGTTAGATGTAACCAACGAATTCTATTGTAATTCTTACGTTTTAATGATATATATACATGTTGTTTCACTCATTGTTGTGTATGTTTCTACAATTTTTTAAGAAAAAAATAGACATAAATCCATCGTCATTTTAAACCAGGTCAATTTGTTAAATAAACGAATTAAACAGGCGAATTTGTTTATTGTAGGCCACTCCCAAATTTATTTTCTTCCAATAAATGAATTAACTAAACCATGCCAATTTGTTTATTATAATTTTTTATTTATTTATTGTAGGTCACTCTCTAATTTTTTTAACTTTTTTTTATAAAATTTAAATATTTTTTTAGATGTGATTGATATTTTCAATCAGATTGAAAATTTATCTTAATAATATGTATAAATATATAGTAATCAAACTTATATTAAATATGTGTATATTATAAAAGCAAAACTTCACCCTTAATTTAAAAATAACATTAATTACACTTAAAATTGTATCTAAGTTTTTATTTCTATTTGAAGGAGAAGGAGCTATACTAATGAAGAGTGGACATAGGGGAATCTTAGCCGTGACGGTCGGTGACCGTTTTGATCTTTATGCGGAAATGAGTGCAAGCACGACAGGTGTGTACCAGCTCATAAATTCCGACAATTTTATATGTTAGATTATATCAGAGAAAAATTTTTAATCCTGCGAAAGATATGAAAAATAAAAAATAAAAACAAACGAACGAACACACATAATAAAATTTATATGGTAAAATTAGTAATAAACGTTTATTGTGTCAATGGATGATTCAGCCATTCACATACGAAGATATAATATAATTTTATATTAAATGTTGCTTTTATTACTACATCAACTTGAATAGTATTTCTTTTATTCTTTATTATAAAAAATCTGACATCAAATTGAATAGTATTTCTTTTATTCTTTATTATAAAAAATCTGATTATATATATATATAGTGACGGATCGAAAAAAACTTGTTAAGTGAGGATAATAAAATATTTTATATTATTTTTATTAAATAAAATATAATAATTTTTTGAAAAATATATTTTTATGGTAAAAAACTTAATATATCTTATTTTTATAAATTATAATTGTGATAATTTTTTCTTTTTGTTTTTTTTGTCTGGAGTTATATTTAAGGGTCACTTTATAATTTGTAGGGAAGGTATTAAGCACCCCTACAACGCCCTTAATCGGTACTCTATGACGAAGTTAACATTATAAACAATAATAATATAAATATTAAATCCCCTTAACAGGCAAACAGATATTAAAGACAAACAAATAAAACAAACAAAGTAAAGGGGAAAAATATTTAAATTATTATTTTTATTATAGTAACTTCATCAATTAAATGGGCCTGACACTCTTTAAACGTCCCCAGTGGAGTCACCATCTGTTGCAACCCGAAAATTTCCGATCTCGCAACCTATGGTTTAAACATCTTTTTGAAAGTCTCATCAATTAAGGAATGCCCGGACAACAGACTAATCCTTAATCAATGGTTTTGAAAATAGGTTCTATGGAGTCGTCACCAATGTTTTACTCAAAACATCAAAAAAAGAAAAGGTTTTTTTAAAGTCCAACAATGGCCTGGATAACCAGAGTGTGCTTCTGCGTTGCTTCCCTTGGACAGATGTATTTGCTCGTATCCTCACCCTTTAGAGTAGTTGAGCATTGATTACGTACTCTATTGGGTAACAAGGTTGATAAACTGTACACCTGATCTTCAGTCTTCGAGTAGAAGCTTCATTGTTTCTCTTGTGATAATGTGTCCCTTTATTTGTAGCTTGTTTAAGAGGGAGTATTATTATGCCTGGCCTCTCCAGGCTGCCTGCAAATATTGTGAGTATTATTATGCCGGCCTCTCAAGGCCGCCTGCTGATATTGTTAGTATTATTATGTACATTTATTGTATATTAATAATGGGGTAGAGGGTGTCACATGTGGAGCTTGCATCTTAATGTGATTTGATTTACATTTGAGGTAAATTTGAGTCACGTCATGTGCACCACCCACATGACCGGTTATATGACACTAAATACACCTTAAATGTATTTCAAATTACACTAAATGCAATCTCTCATGTAAATGTAATTTTCTAGACACTAAGTGGCCAAAATACAAGGCCTAAAATGAGCCTAATCTACTTGACCAAAATACAAGACCCACAAACAAAAATACAAGTCTAAGTGGGTCAATCCTAATCTACATGAGCTTTAGTGCACATCCCAATTAAAGAGTACTATGGACTTTTTCTTAAAATTAGCCCAATTATCTTTTAACCTTTTGACCATAACTCTAGTGATTTGGCTCTTAGATCATGGCCTTATATGACAACCATCTTATAACACACTTTTCTTTCTTTCTTTCTTTCTTTATCTCCTTTCTCTATTGTATAAATATATTAATTACTGGCATTTCTCATACTAGGAGCACTAGGTATTGCAAGTTGCTCAATCGGCCATGATTAAATCACTGAATACAAACCTTTTAATGGTGTGTGTAATTTACTCACAAAACCTCTAAAATTTACGGTGCTTCACTAAAAAATGTCTTCAATCATGGTTGCCGCCACTTTAAAATTACTTCAATTTCATCATGGCTGATTTAATAGCTCCAATTTAGATCATATGGTATCGGAACAACTTTTGCATCACTAAAATTTCTTGTGTTGATAAAAAATATATTTTAATAGTATTCAAAAAAGTAAAAACATTTTCTTACAATTATACAATCAATGGTTTTAAGTAATACTATTTAAATAAAAAAATCTATGAAATTACTTTAAATAAATTTCAAATATAATTTTTTTTTTTGTGTATGATGACTCTAACCCTAAATTATTGATTAAATTAAAATGACTTCAAATCAGTTGATCTACATATTTGGTGGTAAATATAAATTGACTCCTATATATTAAACACAAATAACTATCGAGAATATTTTTAGGAATTATTATTTTATGAAAAGACTTTTAGGGATTCTCTCACCTTTTTATCTAATTCAATTTTATATTTATATTATGAATTAAATTTTAATATTTTAAAAATAAATTATCAATAGAAAAAATAATTTTTTATTGCAATATAAATTATTTATCTTAAATGTAAAATATATTTTATACTAAATTGCACTTATGGTTTCCTTATAATATTAAATCCATAATTTTGGTTCCCCAATTTTTAAATTCGCAATTCTAGCCCCTGAATTTTATAAAATATACAATTTTGATCCCTTTGTTAAACATGCATACGTTGATTATTAAAATTGTAACATTAGTCATAATTTAAAATCAAATAAATGACATAACAATTAATATTTAATAATATTCATGTTAAATTTCACATTTAGTTCTCATTCCATTACATACAAGTGGTAAAATGAGATAAAAGTAGAACTAAAAGTGTAATTTAGTTTATATATAAATAAGTACTAATTATTCTTTCATTTATATTACACGATAAATGTTACAATTTTAACTATTAACCAATGAATATATAGTGAGCAAACACAAATTATGAATTTTATAGAATTGAGGGACTAAACTCGTAAATTTAAAAATTGGAGGACCAAAATTTCAATTTAATATTATAGGAGTAAAAATGTAATTTAATCTATATTTTATATATTTAAAAATATCTATTTATATAAATTTTAATTATATATATATATATATATATTCAGATGTAATATTTATTTACATATATAATTTATTATAAATTTTAATTATATATAATAAAATATTTAATATGTGAAATATACATACTTAAATACTAATCAATTAACTAAAAATATTATAAAATTAATATTCTTTAATTATATCTATATAAAATCAAGTTTAAAAGGTACTTCAAAAACCTATTATTAAAAAAAATATGCTGATATCTTGTGTTCGAATATTTTAACTGAAAATATGTTATGATATTTATCTCACTTGGACCCGTGAAAAAGACAACCAATTACTTCTACAATATATATTTTATAATTTATATATATAACTATTATAAAGAAGATAGTCCATTTTCGTGTACACAATTTTTGAATTATTTTATTTTTAAATTTTTAAATAATGAAAAATAATATTGAAAACTAACTAAATCCAAGATCTTTAGATTTAAGGACTAAATATATTATCAATTCATTCAATAAATATTAGTAATTTTTAAACATCTTTATATAAATATAGACGTACAAAATATTTTGACCTTACTAATATATTATAAAAGAGATACAATTTAGTAATTATATCTAATTTTTATTTTTAATAGACTATATTATCTCTAAATTTATACTATTCACTATTTGCAATAAAAAAATACATCCATTATAATTGTCTATTTTAAAATCTTAAACATTTTTTTACTATCTTTTTCAAGAATAAATATATAAAGGTACATGTCCTTCTTTTCTCCATATATATATATATATATATGAGGAAAGTTATAATAACATCGATACAATTTTTACTAAGTATTACACTGCTTAATAATTTTATATTAAATATGAATTTTGTAAATTTAATCATTAGATTAAAAGTTTATATCACTTTATATGTTTATATCAAATTTTGTTAAAATTAAACAACTTAAAAGTAGTCAAAGTATTCATATTTTTATATATTTTGAAATGTATATATTACATCAATTTTATTTTTATAAGAATAAAGTATCAAATCATCTTAGATTAATATAAAATTTTGTATATATAATCTAAAAATAAAGAACTTTCAATATAATAGTTAAATTTACAAAATTCACATTTAATATAAAATTATTGAGTGGTATAATACTTAATAAAAATTACATTAATGTTATTATAACTCTTCTCTCTCTCTCTCTCTCTCTCTATATATATATATATATATATATATTAGTAACTTCTAAATAATCAATAAAATAAATTATAATAATAATAAATAAAGAGAATACTACTTTTTTTTGTATTCACTTTTCTTAAAACACATTTTACCATTTTTTATAATTTAATCAATTTTTTTCAAACACCTCAATTTTACTCCAAAACCTAAAGCTGTTAAAGAATTAATTAATCATTCTCAAATACACATCATATTTTTCTTTATCCTTGCTAAGGCACCAAATGAAGCTGGATTAAAGTAACAACGAGGTGAGCTCAAGTTTGGAAGGATTTTGGCATGTCCAAGCTTGGAAAGCTCATTATGAGAGAATTGATGGACTTCCAAGTTGTGTGCTGGTATACCTAGCCACATACTTAACGAGAGAAAAGTACAGCAAAACTAAGCAGGTATAGAAAAAAAAAATTTGAAGTACCAATTCCTTTCTTGAAGGATTAAGAAGAAGCTGATGAAGTTCCTTTATGTCCTAATTGCACTAAATAAACGGCGCTTACGCTTTATACACACATGAATAACGTAATATATGAAATGCACTTTAGGACCGTGATAATGTGGTTTCTACATTAAAATTCATGGTATATGATACTGGACCAGTCGAGAATAAAATATTTTACAGAAGAATAAAAATTTGAACGTACATAAACTTTTCCTGTTTCAACTTTCAGAATACTTGTTCAAAAATAGGCCATATGCCAGCCCTAGATAAAGCAAGGGTAATAATACGAAAATGATTCAGACCAATGGATAGCAAAGGAGTGTAACGAAGGGTGTGCAGGATGGGGAGGTTATCATAATCCTGCAACTGATGGATAGAATCAACTTGGCCCAAGCAGCAATAGATTTCTCAATGCAATGGGATGTTAGTCAAGTCCTCCAAAGGGTGTCAAAACTCAACCACTTTTGCTTGTCAATAAGCAAAATAATTTTCTCAGGTATGCCATCTAGAAAACTATTAACCTTCCGTTGTTTGATCCTCTAACTTTGATTTACTCTTTCCATCCTGGAGTCGTTGTCGTTTGGCCACCTTTGATTTGCTCTTTCCAGCCTGGGGTTGTTGTGGTTTGACTGCAGAAAGAAAACTAAAAATATAACTTCAAAGTAACTAAGTAAAACCAATGCTACATTTTTGAAAAATGGGACATATTGGCCTGTTTGCTAAGTTATGTTATATTTAGCAGCTATTTTAGATATTAAAATTTTCAAAGACTTCAAAGGTTTCGATCCCTCTTGAGTGTTCCCCTCCAGTTTATTCCTCTAATTTATGTAAGAATGGAATAATGGTCTAAAAATGCTTCATCTTTTGCCTACTCTCTAGTAAGGTACTAACAGTTCCCCCCTCCCCCAAAGCTGAAGACGCCCAGCCTTTGAGTGGAGACATTCAATTCAAAAGCACTAGTTTAAGGTTATAAATTGCAACAGCAAAGTTCATAGCTTAGAGTCAAGGCAACCTCAAAGATCAGACATATGTTCATAATTCATATTCTTTATACATATGAGCATGTAATTTTAATTTGTTGCTACACAATAAAACTGTTTAGAATGACAAAAAAATTCTTTTCCACTTGAGTATTATTTGTTTCTTAAGGTAATGCACACACTTAGGACAATTACATATTACATGAATTACCGTGATAAAATGATTTTCTTCGAAAATTTAATTGTGAATCATCAAAGTACTTTTAAGTGAGAAATCAATAAATAAGGGTGTTACTTGAAAACAATAATCAATGCTTTCTTGGTTTTCTAAAGTGACAAATATTAATACAAACTGAAACACCCGAAATGACAGATATATGAGAGGAAGTAAGATTAATATTGATAAAATAATAACTCCTCAAACAATTGTTCATGGTGAGTATAGGGGAAACACACCATACCCATGAAGCCAAAAAAAAACACACTTCATTGAATGAACTTTGAAGGGAAATTGTAAATATAGAAGAAATAAGAGCAGATGTTTCTCTATTTAGTATTTACAACTTACATTTCAGACTTGTTCCAGCAAGGCACGTCAGTCTTGAACGTGTGTTATATTCGGCCAGTGGCTTCTCCCTGGCAGCCACTCGAACATCCCAGACACGTATAACACCATCAGATGATGCAGATGCCACTAGGTAAGGGTCATCATCCCCTGTAGAACCATCACCATCTGTGAGCACAGCAATACCTTTCACACGGGTTGTATGTGCTTCTTCCAAGCAATATGCCACTTTTCCACTCTTAATATCCCATGCTGTGACATTTCGATCCTCACCACCTGTATAGAGAAGTCCATTCTGCAACATAGAATAAATCATAAATGTCAAAAAACAAAGAGTTGATTGCTTGATAAATGATAATAACACACAAATAACAATCCCATTACCAATACGATATACTTCCCAACAAATTCTTTCAAAATAGAAGATAGCAATCAAACGATGACCTTCGCATGTATAATCTGTAAACAGTGTTCAAGCAGATGCGATAACACAAACTGGTCATCCCATCTTTGATAAGCAAATGCAATAATCCAACACTTCCTTGATCACACTGTTTTCTATGTTATAAACTTCCAGGTCATTAACCCGTCATTAAACAATAATATGACAGATAAATTGATTACCAGACACCCCTAATTAGTAATCATACCTCTAAATTTAATTTTAATCACTATAAATAACATAAATCACAAATGACAAATCAATAGTCATCAATTACTTGATATTACAAGACTAAATTTTTTCTTCTTAAAAGACTAAAGGTCTCCAAAAACACTACTACTACACTAATAAGAAGGGGAAAAGAAACAAGTTAGGATAAACTTCTCCAGTAACACTTAAAGAAGAAGAAAAAGTAAAACAAGTTTTTGCACGATTTAAAGTTTTTGGAGAAGCTAAAATTAATTAACTTCAACAAACTAATTCATGTATAAATTAATCTTAATTTATGAATAAGTTAATATTATTTTTATCTAAATAGAAGTACTTCTAGGGAACCTTATCAAAACACACCCTTACTCCCTTAGCTTATGAAAAAGTTAAAAACAAGTTTTAAGAGCACTTAATACTAGAAAATTTCTACAAAATTAACTTACACATAAACTAATTAATCTAATTTCATTTTTATCTTCCTACTATAAATGATTTTCGATGAGTTTATCGAATCATGCAAAAACAGAACCTAAAATATTGAAGAAGAAGAAGATACCTTAGCAGGTGCAGCGCAGAGAACATTTTTGGAGCATTCCAAATCGAACAAGAGGCGCGCGTCCTCGGTTTGGTGGACGGAAACCTTGTCCTTGGCCGCCATGAAGAAGCGGTCGCCGGAGGCATCGAACTTGACCAAGCTGGCCTCCACGCCGAGGCGGCAGCAGAAGTTCCGGCGGCCGCGGACGAGGTTGACGACGGCGAGGCACTGGTCGTGGGAGACGGTGAGGGCGCGCTCGCCGGAGGGGTGGAGGGCGAGGTCGTTTATGGCGGCGCGGTGGACGGAGAGCGTCTTGAGGTGGACGAAGCCGTCGGCGTCGAAGATGGCGAGGTTGCCGGCGGCGTCGGCGGATATGAGGTTGCGGGGGAAGGGGAGGCGGGGCGCGGCGTAGAAGGCGAGGGCGGTGACGGTGGCGGAGTGGTGGAGGAGGGAGCCGAGGGAGGAGGCGGAGGAGAGGTCGTAGAGCTGGATGGTGTCGTCGTCGGCGCCGGAGGCCACGACGGAGGCAGAGACGGCGACGGTCTTGATGGGGGCGAGGTGGGAGGAGTAGGAGAAGAGAGGGATTAGGGATTCGGAGCGAAGGGTGAAACCCCAAATGAATTTCTCGTACGAACCTGCTACCAAACTCATCCTTCCTCTCTGTTACTCTCTTCTCGCTCTTGCACTCTAAAACCCTACAAATTCTACACCACTATCTCCTTCTCGGCTTTTGAGGTTTAAGTAACCTTCCACTTTTGACGCGAGGACAAGGGTTAATGCTGTGTTTGGTGTTTCGGCGATAAATTTTATAAATTTAAGAAATTTTAAATTTTTGGTATGAATTACTTTAATTTTAATTTTTATTATTTTTAAGATATTTTATTTAAATAAATTAATTTAAATTTTTTTTAAATTTTAAATTATTAGGTTAAATATGATAATTTGATTTCATCGTAATAAAATTGATTTTAAAAATATATTTATATGTTAAGATTTTTAAATTAAATTTTATAAAAATAAATATTAATTTATTTTTAAATATTTAGTAATTTTAAAAATTAATATTAGATAATATTTAATAAATTTAAAAACATTTTTTGAATATTTAATAATTAAAAATACGAAGAGATAAGAGATAAGATAAAATATATAAGTAAAATAAGAAGAAAAAAAATATGAGGAATTTTAAATCCTTATTTTTTCGGGAGAATTTGAAATTCTACTATTTCAAGAAATTTCATAAATACTTGGATTTCAAATTTTTATAAATTTTCTATCCAAACAAGGTATTTCATCTCAAAGAATTTGAAATTCTTCAAATAAATGAATTACTCCATTTAAATTCTCCATTCAAACACACTATAAGACAAATGACAATGCCATCTTCTCTTTCAATTTCAAATATAACCAGTTAAAGATACGAAATTAATTTTTTTTTCAAGGATGAATGTTTTTAGGGTTTTTGAAGATTTTTTTATAGATTTTTTCAGCTTTATATATAATATAACTTGTATTTGTCATAATTATTTATAAATTTAATTTTAATATTTTTAAAATAAATTATCAATAAATAAAAATAATTTTATATTATAATATAAATTATTTATCATGACTTTTGTAACAGCCCAATTTTCATAGAATGTACGGGGCTCAAAAGCCCAATGAGGGTAATTTAATAATTTACAAGGGTGTTTTAGTAGTCTATCCATATTAGGTTTTTAGGCCTTTTTTGTGGCTTGGAACGACCCGTTCCGATTTTGGAACAGCCCGTTCTAGGCCACTAAAACCAATTTATTTGGGCTTTAGGCCTTCTGATGTCCTGTCTTGTTATTTGCATGCTTCTGGAGCTCCTTCCCTTCATAACAGAGGTCCATTTCCTTGTTTGTATGCCCCTAGACGAAATTGGGTGTCTACACCAACCAAGACGACCCATTCCTAAGGTTAAACATCCCTCTGATGTCTTGTCTTATTATTCAACCTGTCTTATACTGGTCGACATTCCTAAGGTTAAACATCCCTCATTCCCTCATTCAACCTCACACGGAACCCTTAGTTAGTTTTGCAGGAGAACGAGTCCACACTCGGGGATACATAGAGCTGCTAACAACCTTTGGGACACCTCCCAACTCAAAAAGAACCTTGGTCAAATACCTCCTCGTCGATGCTAACACATCATACAACATCATCATAGGAAGACCGACTTTAAACCAACTCAGAGCTGTGGTGTCTACCCCGCATCTAACGATGAAATTTCCAGGGGGTAACGGCCAAATAATTTTGGTCAAGGCAAATTAAAGAACAGCTCGGCAATGCTATGCTGAAAGTTTAAAGGCATCATCCCTAGCAGAGGAACAACGCCGAGATAACTCCCTTACTATCGCTCACATCAATCAGGATGACATCACCAACTTGGATCTAAGGTCAGAATCCCATGACAACTGACCAAGTCTAATTGACGAGTTTGCTGATTTGCAAATCAGAAAACTCCCTGGCCAATGCACCAAAATAAGCCAACACTTGAGCACGGAGTTGCCGCAACAACTTGTAGCCAAAATTTCCAAAAACACCGTCCTCTTTGCGTGGTCCAACGCCGAAATGCCAGGTATAGACCCCAATCTTATCTGTCACATATTGGCAATCCATAGAGAGGCAAAACCGGTGGCTCAAAGGAAACGAAAGGTTGGTGGTGAGAGACGAGAAGCCATCATAGCTAAGACACAAAAGCTAATAAAAGCAGGATTCATCCGAGAAGTCCGATACACTACGTGGCTAGCCAATGTGGTGCTTGTTAAAAAGAACTCAGGGAACTGGCATATGTGCGTCGACTACACCGACCTAAACAAGGCTTGCCCTAAAGATGTCTACCCCTTACCAAGCATTGACAGGTTGGTTGATGGAGCATCCAGTCATGCCCTCCTCAGTTTTCTGGATGCATACTCCGGATATAATCAGATAATGATGTACCCACCGGACAAAGTGCACACGTCGTTCATCACTGACCACGCCAACTTCTGCTACCGCGTGATGCCGTTCGGCCTAAAAAATACGGGTACTTATCATGGAACGACCCGTTCCGATTTTGGAACAGCCCGTTCTAGGCCACTAAAACCAATTTATTTGGGCTTTAGGCCTTCTGATGTCCTGTCTTGTTATTTGCATGCTTCTGGAGCTCCTTCCCTTCATAACAGAGGTCCATTTCCTTGTTTGTATGCCCCTAGACGAAATTGGGTGTCTACACCAACCAAGACGACCCATTCCTAAGGTTAAACATCCCTCTGATGTCTTGTCTTATTATTCAACCTGTCTTATACTGGTCGACATTCCTAAGGTTAAACATCCCTCATTCCCTCATTCAACCTCACACGGAACCCTTAGTTAGTTTTGCAGGAGAACGAGTCCACACTCGGGGATACATAGAGCTGCTAACAACCTTTGGGACACCTCCCAACTCAAAAAGAACCTTGGTCAATTAAAATAAATAAAAAGTGAAATAAAAACTAGGGTGTTACATATTGAGAACGGGCCGTTCCAGAGTTGGAACGGGCCGTTCTAAAATATGACCGTTAAGAGTTTTTAATGCAAACCCAGAACGAGCCGTTCTGGTTTGAGAACGAGCCATTCTGGATGTGAATTTTACTCATGATTTAAGGGTCCAGAACGGGCCGTTTCGGATTTGGAACGAGCTGTTCCGGAGACACCTGATGCCTATAAATAGAGCACTCTAGCACTCCCAAAAAGCAAACTTTTCACTTTTCTCTTCTTTTCTTCTTTGCTCTCTTCTTTTCCTTCTACACTCTCTGAAGATCAAGGGGCATTCAGAGGAGGAGACCAAGGAGATCTTTGTTTTAGTTTCAACTACTGTTTATCCAGGTACGGGGGAAAAGGAGATTATTTGTATGTAGAGTTACATAAGGGAATTGGGTAGAGGAAGAGTTCCTTAAGATTATGAGTAATTTTATAATTATTTCTATTTGAAGAATTGTTGATCCCATTAGATTTTACATGTATTGAGGATTAGAAATATATATTTAATTTGTAAGAATTATGATTTGGGAGAAAGAACGAAATTATAGAAAAGTGTTTGTAAGCTAGGTTTTGAAAAAGTTGGATTATTTCTGTTTGAGGAATGATGATCCCATTAGATTTTTTGTATGTGTTGAGGATTAAAAATATATATTTAATTCGTAAGAATGATGATCTGGGAGAGAGAACGAAGAAAAGTGCGTGTGAGTTAGGTTTTGGAATTATTGGGGGTTTTACCGTTTATGTTAAGATTATATTAAATTGGTAATTCCATTGATTATTATATTAATTTATGAATGTTATTGTTATATTACTTGATAAGAATTGAAGATCCAGATGTGAATTGCTTGAGGGGTGTGTATGTGATATGGAATTGTGTATGTGATATGGAATTGAGCTATGAGATGAGATGTTGTATGGATGTGATTATGATTGTGATTGTGGTTCCTCACACATATGACCAGGAATGAGACGACCCTGGGTAGGTGATGCTTCAGGGATGGCGTGCCCCTGGCATAGTGTGGGATGAGTGAGGCAATTAACACGCATCACTTATGTCAAATATGGCAGCCCTAACATAGGGTTAATTGCAAGACTTGTGTGGATTGTAATGTGATTGTGGTTCCTCACACTAATGACCAGGGATGAGACGAACCTTGGGTAAGTGATGTTATAAGGACGAGCGTGCCCCTGACATGGTGTGGGATGAGTGAGGCAATTAACCCGTATCACTTGTGTCAGGTGTGGCGTGGCCTTGACATAATGTTAATTGTAAGATTTGTGTGGATTGTAATGGATTTTTTTGATTATGAATCGTGATGTGAAGATGATGAATGATTGATAGAATGATGATATATCTATAGAAATGCTTGTAAATAACATTTCAAGTTATGATGAGATGATGTTGTGGATTTCCTTGTGTGCTTTATATATAAATGTTTTCTTTTCTCACCGTACAATATGTAGATGTTTTAGGTGAGGAAGATCCGGCTTTGAGTGACACTAGAATGTCAACCGTTGAGTTGTGGGTGTGCTTTGATATTATGACATCGGAACAGAGAATTCTAGGATAAATTTTTATATGTATTTAGAGTTATACCTTCTCTTTTGAAATCAATTTGTAAACTCTCAAGTTTTACTTTCTAAATTTCATTTTTAATTATTTTGGTTATTTATGAAGGTTTTATGTGAACCTTTTTACCAACGTTGAATATTTTATTCTTTAGTTTATTTACAAGATTTATTTATATATATGTTGGGGTAGTAAGGGTGTCACAACTTTAAAATATGATTTATATATTTAAAAATATTTACTTATTTAAATTTAAATAAAATTTTAATATTATTTATTTATATATTTGAGTGAAATTGAAAGTAATAAGTGTATTAGATTAGGATTTTAATGGATTTTTAAAGATTTTTGTTTATTATAATTTTTTTTTTATATTCAATCAAGACTTTTTTTTTATGTGATATTCAATTAAGACAATTTAAAAAATTCTAAAAGTCCATCAAAAATTAGTTGTATTTAAAAAACTAAGTTGGTATCTAAAAATATAAGGATTTAAATAGATTATTTTAAATAATAAATTAAAAAAAATTAGTGTAATTTACATGTAATTCACTTATCAAACAATTTCATCAAAAATATTTAGATTTTGGAAAAGAAAAAAATATTCTTCTATTTCTACTTTTTTTTTCTCTTAAATCTTTTC